CACAGATGGACCCAGAAACTCCCTGAGGTATCGCCACCAGGCTTTCCTGCCCAAGGTCTTCAGAGAAGAAGATCAGTGTGCAGCAAGGAAGGAGACCAGACCAAGACTCTGGATTGAAGGAGACAGGAGAAGTCAGCTCCCAGGGCCAAGGGGGTAACACCAAGTCTATGAGACCCTGGAAGGGGTTGAACAGGAGGAGAACTGCCAAATAGTGCCTCAAACCCAACAGAAATTTGATTGTGGGAACTGGAAATGAGGTAATAAGCCCAGTTCACCAATTAAAGACTACTGGAACTGCTGTTCAGACAAAAGAATTGTACACTGGAGCTATACAGATAATTTTCCTTTTCTTAAGGAAAGTCTATATTCAGTGTTAGAAAACAGAAAGTCTTTCTGTAATTCCGGACAGAACCTCTGTGGTATTTATGAGATTGGAGCTGCAGAAAGCCAGCCCGTCTACTGTTAACTCCAGCTGGGGCACTGGCAGAGTAAATTGTCACCAGTCCCCAAAAGATGCTGTCATGGTTTGCTGATTTGCCACACATCTGCACAAACAAGCTCTGCAGCGTCAAGACAGAAGATGCGGGAAACCTGTGCAAGGAAAACTCATAACACATTCAGGTCTTCTTTTATCAAACTCTCAGCTGAGGTACCAACGAGCATGGAGAGTACGGAGATTTTCAACCCAGTGATCGGGTTAAAGGTCTATACCATGTCGAGATGAGAGCACAGGAGTGTTTTGTGGTTTGCATACAATATTTTAAGGTGGGTGATGTTTACACTGAGAGCACCCAGAAGAAAAGGCAGTACTGGCCACTGAATTGGAAACATGCAGCTACAGTGGAAAGATAGTGTGTGAGTTTCTGGTACGTGACAGCTGCACTTGACACTCTACAAACCCCTTTAGTGCTGCAGCTTTGCAAAGAAAAAGGGGGGCAGCAAGTTGCTGATAAACCACAGCTTCATTTCGCACCGGAAAATTTGTGTGCTATAGTCTCAACTTTTTTTTTTTCCTCTGTTTGAAACACAAGTTTGCGATTTGCAACTAAATTTTGAAATCTTCACTAAAACTTTCCATTCCTCCTTACAAAAGAGATCCTTCAAAGGTTAACAACAGGAAGAATCAACAATGCTGAAGCAAATACAGTCCGGTGTCCCTCCCCACGTTACCATCACTCACCACTTGCAGGTTCAAGCAGCACCTGCTCATCACCAGCAACGTTGCATCATTGCTTAGCAATGGGAAGTCCTTCTGAAGCACTATGAGGAGACATGACGGGCAACAGAACAGCAGACCTGACACAGAATGGTCATTTTAATGCTCCTTTTGTGTCTACCAACCACCACAGCAGAACTCCCATGTCCTGAGACATGCTTCTAGTGCCAGTCATGCCACACTGTGAGACATCCATGCGATGTCTGATATTACTAAGAAGCTGAAGAGCTTCTTACCACTTTGAAAAAGTCATGAAGAACCTTCCACAAAGTGACTAAGAAATCAACCTTATCCAAAACTCAGCATCTCCTCCAGCTCTGATGCTCCAAGCTCCCTCTCATTTCCCTTGTCTTCTCTGTTGAATGGATGTAAGCAAGCACAGAGAAAATGAATTCTAAACTCACCTGCTGTCAAGCCCCATTCAAAAAAGGTGGACCCTTGTTAGTCTCCTTCTTCCCTGCATGTTTTTTGTCTCTTCTCTCCTTGCTCCTGTCTCCTTCTATTTAGTAGTGTGACATCCATTAAATACAGACTAGGCTGGACCTAATACATAAAGATAAACCTTGGTCACAAGCAACTTAGGTGGAGTTCACCAGCCATCAGAGCCCTGTAACATTAGCTACGAGAGAAACAAAACTTACTGGTAGGTTTGGGAGAAAAAAGAAATTACCTTCTAGTGTCTAACCAACCTGTCTGGTCTCCTGACATCTCTTACACGATGCTTTGAAGATGTAAATAATTGTCTGAGTTTTTTTCTTCTTCTTTAGTCATGTCATAACTGTGGTACTACAACAGAAATTACTAATAAAGCATGTTATTAGTGCCAGTGTTTCACTGACTGGACTTAGGCTCTCAGTCCAACAATGACAAGTCTATTGCAAAATATCATCCAGAGGACAAACTACCAAACCAGAGCATGCTAAGGTCAAAGAGATTCATTAATAAATCTGGTTACTACCTGCTACTTCCACTTTTGGAGTAGGTCATCAGTGTAAAACTTACATATACTGATCTAAATTATTTGTACAAGTGTTGATTTTAAATTAGAGCTTTTCCTGGAGGTTTTGCTTGTGCCTGGAGCTTTTCATAATTAAATAATTGCCATTGCAACTGTTTCGGTTGTTCTTATTTTTTTTTACTATACAAAATAGAAACAGCTTTGTGCTAAGCGATACCGAAAGACAGAAGCCAGAAAAAAATAGTGCCTGCCCCAGCTACTTTATTATTTAGGAAACAGGAGATGGGTGCACAGGAAAGGGGTGGTTTCATCTGATCACACACAGACATCTCCATCAGAGCTACACTTCCCTGGTTCCCCCTCTGGCCAACAAAGTGTGTCCATGCTGAAAAGGGATGCATGACAGCCCGCTTACAGCTAAAGCTCTCTGCTGACAATAAGATTTTGTCTGGCCTTAAAAGGATATATACATTAGCTGTGGATTGCAGGCAGCAGAAAGGAATAGCTCCCCCTGAAGCCGTCCCCTGTGAGTCCCCAATATTGCCCTTGCCCACCACAACAGGCAAGTGTCAGAAGTGAGAGGGGATGGTGGCATGTTTCATATACTGGTGAGTCACAAAGATCTTCAGCAAATAAGAGTATAAAGATAGAAAGGAGACCTCTGAACGGTGACACGTGACAAAGAAAACAGTGGCCCTGCATGAAAACCAGCTCAATCCATGAGCCGTAAGGACCAAGATCAAGCAAACGTCTACACCCAGGAGAGGAATCTCTGGGCTCCAGTCTGGTGCCCCAGACTGGTTCATAATAAAATTTACCATTAGTCAGAGACAAGAGAGAAGTAAGATGTCCCTACTAAGAAAGGCAATAGCCCTTCCTGGATGATCCTTTAATTGTATAGGTTCTCCCCACACCCACCACCACATCCCCGAGGAGATGCACTACGTGCTGTAGTTAAGCATCCAACTCTACAGCAGAGTGAGAACCTAGTCCTGACTAATGTTTGATCCATCCTCATTTGCCAGCACGTTCACTTCCATTTGAACCATACTGAAAAATGGGAACCAAGGATTTTCCTACTTTGGTCTTGGGAGGGTTGTGCTTTTGCAAATGCTTTTGAAATTTCGTTTTCTGTGGCTGAGTTGTAATAGTGATGGAAGTGGCGGGGGCGGGGGGGCACTCACACAACAATCCTGATGGATGGTGGGAACCAGCTCACTTCAGCATCTCAGAAAACACAGAACTCAACTGTAGTCATCTACGAGGCAGCCCTGAAGTTTCAGTTCCTCGTCTACGTTCCTCCATCAGCCGGTGAAGACAGGCGCTTCCCAAGAGCAGCTTATCCCATTATAAAGGGAGGATGAATTCTGCTTAGGATAAGGAGAATAAACAGCCCACCGAAACCAGGACCTTAGCAAGTAGCATCCCTTAATGTCTCGTCTGGAGATGGCTGGAGAGCTAAGAGGTTACGGTTAGCTTAAGTCTGACATTCACATTTGCATGATGGGATTTTGAGATCCAGACCCTTGTAAAGTTGTTTAACTGAAGAAACCTATTTTCTTGTTATTTTGCCGAAATCTGCTCTGTTTCAGGTAGACACCACAAGTATCACAGCCTCATGAAGGTATGAATTTCACACATCTCAGCAGGCCTAACAGCAGCTTTCCTCGCTCACCCACACACTTCAATGCCCAGTGAAATAAACCCAGCTCCTAAACCATTTTCCATAGCTCATTTCTAAGTAGCAGCCACAATAGCAATTGCACCAGCGTCAGCAGCACCTGGTTTCTGACATAGCCAGGAAAAGGGGGCTTTCATTGCAAAGAGGCAATCGAAAAACACCTCACACAGAAAAACAATCAACAGGAAGGCCAGGAAGTGTCAACCAAAGAAATAAATAATACACCAGCCCACCACCTCGCGGCCTGGTGGAACTGCTGCTGTTGTATGTGCAAAACACCAGGAACTATCACCCATACCCATGTGCAAGTGGCCGCATTGGGGTGAGGCAGCAGCAAGGGCCCTCTTCGTTGTAGCACGCGAGGGTTTTTCTTGGCAGGGCGGAAGCCCCTGTGGTTAGAGAAGAAAACCACAAGATGTTAAAAAAGAAATAAAAATGCATACCTCTGGGGCATGGGGCTTTCTTGGTGGGTTTCAGGTCACAGACCACCTGCCTTGCACAAAGCAGCTTTTGCAGAGCGATTGCAAAGAAGAATTGCAAAGAGAACAATGGAGCACCTGAAGAACTCAGCTGTGTGTCAGCAACGCATGTGCTTGGAGATAAATGATACATGCGGACCTATGCCATGAAACACCCGTGTCTTGCTTGCTGGGTATTAAAATACGGTGTGCTCATGCCAGCACGAGACCCCTTGAGTGCACACAAGTGAAGGCAGCAGAATCCCTGCCAAGAAACACAACCTGGGGCCTACCGCCAAAGCATGGGACTTGTCCGTGACTTGTGCGAAGCTGGAGCTGCTGTGAACTCCCAGGCAGCAGGGAGACAGCAGGCTGCGGTGGCTGACCCTACCTCAGGCACGAGCATCATCAGTCCACATCTCTAGGGAAGTCATCCAGGCAAAATCCTTGAGGCAACATTAAGAACTGATACCAAAAATTGAGCCCAAATCCTGGATTAGTACTGAATTTCTTCAGAAATCTTTTTTTCCTTCATTTTGCCGCGGATGCTGAACACTGTCTCTTTACCCAAGAGGGTCCTAATGACATCACATCCTCTCTAAAGAGCAACACAGCCTCCCAAATCAAGTGAGAAAGATTACCTCTGCTCCACCCTCCGTCTCCGAGGACGGCCACCCCTAGGAGAAGATGGTCGGGTCTCCTGCGCTGCTCCTTCTGCTCGCTCTGGGGCTCTGTGAGTACGGGCACAGGGCTGTGCATCACCTTCACCGGGAGGGGAAAGTAAAACCCTTCCACTGAATCCAAGAAATTGGGCTCAATAGTTAAAGGGAAAACAAAAAGCAAACCCAAAAGGCTGACTTTGAGGTTTGCTCGGTAATTGTGGAAGTAAACGTGGCATAACCTCAGCCAGCGTCGGGGAGCCAGAGGGGTGGCTGCAGCATCATGCACACCGGGAAGGAAGCCCTCTTGGAGAAGTGGTTCTGGAGGGGAGGGAGAAGGGGAAAAAGGGGTGTTTAGCAGTCAGTGGTTTTAGGGAGTCACTTTGGATTAGTCGGGAAGGGGTAACATCCCTGAGAATGCAGCTGAAAGGCTTTTCTGAAGGACAGCGCCCATCTTTAAAGCCCGGGTGGCCGCTTGCTGGGCAACCTCCGTGCACAATCCCAGCAAGGACTCCAATAAAACCTTAAAGTCATCCAGACAGCATGGTCCTCCCTTTGCATTTGGCCTCGCACCCTGTGGACAGGGAGTGAGGTTTGCCTGGAGGGGACGTGGCTCTTCCCGAGCAGTTCCCACAAGGATTTCTCTCCCGCAGGCTGCCCTGGCCAGGGGCAAAAACCGAGCATCAAGTTTCGTGACAGAGGAACCAGGCACCCCCAGGTGGGACGGCGGCTGGAGCTGGAGTGTCAGACCTCCAAGGATGACAACGGCATGTCCTGGATCCGCCAGGACAAGGGTGGGACCCTTCACTTCATTGTCTACATCTCTTCCCTGTCCCGGACCACCTTCAAGGAGAAGGAGAGGACATCCACACGTTTTCAGGCGATGAAAGACAACGGGTTCTACCGGTTGATAGTGAAGTCTTTCACACTGCAGGATGAGGGGAACTATTTCTGTCTCGTGAACAGTAACCAAATGCTGTACTTCAGCCCTGGCCAACCTGTCTTCTTCCCAGGTCAGCAACATCTCCACCCAACCTTGCTTAACTCTGCCAAAATGCCCGGCACCTCCTGCCTGTGCTTTTTTTAATCAGTTGCCTCTCCCACAAACCCCATTTTCCCTGCTTGCTTGCCCAAGACATCTTGTGACCAATGTCTGAGTCCTCCTGCCGGAGGCTCCCTGCTTGCTGTCTCTTCTCATGGTATCGCTCCTGGTCAAAGGCAAAGCTGACCAGATAGACCCAGCATCACCTCCCCATCCCCACTTCTCTATCCCATTCATGGCTTTGAAGGGATAAGACTAAAGCAACGTCCACCAACCCCTCCTTCCTCACCTCACATAGGTCCCGAAAGTCCTATCAGCCTCAGGGTCCTCAGGCTTTCTGAGGCTAGCAGCAGAAAGCAAAAAACCCAAGGAGCCTGCAGCTCCTTACCAGGTCTTGGAAGACCCTCTTTGGGGGAGTCAGCATCCAAAATGGGCTCTATGAAGTCCCCCTGGACCTGAGCCCTGCTCTGGCCACAGAAGCAGCTGTGCCCTGGCAGGGCTGGGAGAGCAGAAGAGAGCTATTTTATTGTGTTTCCTCATATGCTGTATTCATCCGTTTCCACTTACAGTCACCACCACCGTGGCACCCACTACACCAGGACCCACCACCCAGCATGGCATCAACACAACGGGCTCCTGCCTGAAGACCCCGAATTCAGGTAGCTCAGCTGCAGGGAGGGAGAGGGGAAGAGCTGGGCTCTGGTCCACTGGTACCAAGGGGGATCCTACAGGCATTTTAGGATGGTGCATGGGGTGGAAATCCTTAGAGCTTTATCAGAGTTGGATAACTAGGTACCTGCAGCTGGAAGAATTAAACTCCAGCGTTTCGTCCCACATAGGAAAGGCTACGGATGTCAAAAAAAGCATAAGCATGTCTCATGCCTTGGCACACTGCGAAGAGGTGGAGGGAGGGTAGAGCCTTGGGGGCTGGGGCTTGTTTTAGCCTCAGCAGGGGACATGAGGAAGCTTTTGGGGACACGTCCTCCCTCAAGTCCCCAAGAAAATGCTGAGAGCGGCAGCACTGACGAAGGCCCAAGTGCAGACTTGTGGACATTGCTGGTGAGCCCAGGGAAGCCCTCTGCTTCACCTCCAGCCTTGCTGAACGCCAGGCAGGTCCCTTGGCCGGTCCCTCAACTCCACCAGAGCTGGTCATAAAACCAGCTGTGAGCATCTGGTGGACCTTTCCTCTTCTCTTTTCCTGCAGGGACCAGCAAGGAGAAAGAGATGAAATTCTTCTGTGACATCTTTATCTGGGTGCCCCTGGCAGGCGCCTTCCTCCTTCTCCTCCTCGCCCTGGCGGCCACCATCATGCTGTGTCAACGTAAGCCTCACTCTTAACCCCTTGTAGATCCTCCTCTAGCCTGAAACTGCAGCCCTGTCCTTCAGCAGAATGGATCTTCTAGCTATCCCCGTTACATAGATATTGGATAACCAGGTACTGTCAACCCAAGAGATGGACCACTGTTAAAATCCATGTCTCTGTTTTCCTCATCAGTAGGCTTAGGCTGAGAAATAATTACCAGCTCCTACAGTACAAGGAAGAAAAATAGATTATAAATACAGAAAACTTACTTTATCAGACTGTGTTGGTTCTACCACCCTTAAATTGTCGTATCAGAGAGTAAA